CTATCAAAATGTTGATCTAATAACAATTTGACGTTTATACTATTACGTCAAAAGCAACTTTTTTCCAAAGCCTACCGTGACTTCACTGAATCATCGTTTCTTGTTCACTATTATTAATATCTTAATTATTAGATATTAATACATCTGGTATTATGGTATTCTGGCATTTCGTCGATTTTAAAATAAACTAACTGTGTCTATCTTATTTTTAGGTTAGAATGGGCATAATCAAGAGGGCTACTGATACCGTGTTGAAAAAATAAGGTAATTAAGGGCTTATTTTTTGGTATTTATTATAATTTTGCTAATATCTTCGGTTTGAAAGAAGATATCAAGATGCGGTTTTCGCTGCCCAAGCAGCATTTGGACGTCGGGACAACGTTGTGTCACGCGACCAAACGTCGGGGCGCAACGTCGGCACAACCTCGTGCCAACCCTAGTCTGCACTAGTTTGGAGAATAATTTTTGGGTCGAAACGACGTTGGATACCGACGTTGGCTAGAAGCCTAATTTAGTACAAACTGCAACGTTGTTTAAAATCCTAATTCACAGAAATACAAAACTAATATGGCGTCTAAGTCGCGTTTTATCCTAAATTGGGATAATTATAGTAAAAATATTATTTTTATGATTTAGTTAGAGACATATGTCAGATGGCAGTGAAGGAAAACAAAACAAAAGTATTTAAGTGTGGAGGATGTTTGAAGATCATAATTATTGAAACACTTTAACCGACTCTGTAACTCATTACCCAAAGGAAAAAAAGTTAAACGCAAACAACTTTATTGATAAATGTATTGTTTCTACTTTGAAAAATACTAATGGGCCTTAAAATTAAAAAAGTTTTAAAAATTTTCTTGAATTTTTTTTTAGTAAAATGAGAATAATTTATTCGCAGTCGAAAAAATTGTTTCCGCGTGTTTTTTAGGGTCAAATATTTCAAGTTAATGTATTCAAAAAGCAGGAATTGCTATGTTAGGAACGAAACATTTTCTTATTTAACAACATGGCGGCTTTCACTTTCTTGTTTTGGAGATTAAGAAGGAGTAGTTCGAGTAGTCGCATACTGGACTAATAAAGTCGCAGTTCGGCCTTAACAGGTAGTATATTAGTCGCAAGATTGCCTAATTTAGTCATCCTAGAGTCTAGCTTGTGCCGCCCTCTATAATATAAATAAACGAGGGAGTGGATAAACTATCGGTAATATATGTCGATGTATATTTAAATTTAGTTTTATATGTAGGTACCTTTCTTATGTCCCATTTTAATTAAGTTTTTTTATAAAAACAAAAACAGCACTGAACTGTCTGACTGAACAGAACAATGAAGTGAAAATTTAAAATTTAAGGTTATGGTTCAATACAGTTGCAAAAAGGTAGTGACTCGACGTTCTACCAACGTAAGAATAAGGAAATCTAAACAACGTTGGAATTAGTAAAACAGACGACGTTTGCATAACGTTGGAATAGGTCCTGAAACTGAAGTCGGAAAACTCTATATTGTCCAACGTTGTAACTACGTTGTCCGAATCACCTAAAAGATCACTTAAGCAAAAAAAGGTTACAAGACAACGTTTATTCGACGTCGCAGAAGCTTCTACTTTGCTGTAGTACTAGTCCAACGTCGGCACAACGTTATAAAAACGTTTAAATTTATTTTAATACCCAAGGTAGGGAGCTAACTATTTTTTGTAACTAATCCAACGTTGTGTTTAGTAAACATATGGTCGCAAGTCGTGAAAATGCTACTTGGGTGACTTTTTAAGCTTTTACTACTCTTTACTAGCTAAAATTACATATACTATTGCATTTAATTTTTTTAAAAAAACGCGCAATGTTTGTTAAGTTGTAAAAAAACGCCTCCCAGCGTCTACGTTCAAAAGCTTATTGTTATTGTTTATATGGTGCAATATAGAGTAAGAAACGCTCTTTTAAACGAGCCCTCGTTTGTTGGATTCCTATCATCCAGTCCAGATTTATTAATATTCAAATAAAAACAGATCTAACCTTCACCCATCACTTTATTTTGGTAGATAGGGGTAAATGGCTCTAACAAAATATATTCAAAATTTACTGAAGATTATGAAGCTGTTACTTATCGTACACCTTATCTAGGCAAAATCGTGTAAAAACTCCATTTTCTTATTTTTTGTTGCAGTTTTGACCTAGCGGTCGTTCTACAAACTTGAAAATAATTTCCAGCAATTTCCCATAGCCTCTTTAGTTATAAATATTTTTTCCGCAGCCGCTACGGCTAATACTTTCCGAGATACAGCCAAGAGCTATTCTTAGTGGGACACCCTGTATAGTGAAAAAGTACCGCATTGAAAAACCTTTTCACTAGTGAAATAAAAAAGGGGATTTCCATTTGAAAAAGAAATAATTATTATTATTTTTTAACCCCCCAATTCCATGATAGCTATCGCCATTATTATATGATATTCAAACAATTTAATTTTTGAAATAGATAGCCACATGTATTCTCTTTATGTCACCGCGGCTGTGGTAATCACTCAATTTGACTTTTAGGCTATACAATTTTTTTGACAGGCAGTTTTTCGATCAAAATTTTTAAATATTTTTTTCTCAAAAACGGTTACTATTAGGTATAGAGTGTTTAACATCAATATTCGTAGAATTTTGCCGAGAATTTAAGTATGTAATAAAAAGCGGAGGTGCCCATTTAAAATAAGAAAGTTGCTGTCGACTTCCGGTATTTCCGGAAATGCCGCCATAATGAAAATATTTTTAATCGATAGATTACGTTTTAACACAATGATGTGCAAAAAATCTCCGATCTAGATATTGTAGTCCTCCAGAAACTTCTAATGCACGCTCAGCCTGAGACGCCGTGTATACTTTTACATTTACTAGGTGTTGCAATTTATGTCACACCGTATATACCAGGTGTTTGTGTTAAAAGTGGCTCCCGTATAACTTTTTTTATTTTTTTCAGATAAATATACTAAATTTGGTTCGTCAGTAGGTATATGACATTAATCAGGATTGATTGACGTATTTAATTGTTTTCAGTCACTACCTGTTTCACAAGAAATGACTACAAGTTTTGATTTTTAAATAGCACCCTCGGTATTTTTTTAGTTTATTTGATAGAAAGTGAAATTTTCTAAATAGAATGGCATATCATATGTCACTGTTTGACACTCCCGCTTAATAAAATCGTATTTTAAAATTCAATCTGGAGTGCCATGGATGTGTTAAAAATGCTAATTTTTAATCAATGAGCCTTGGAAAAATAGATTTGATGATAGTCTAATGTTTTTGTGTTTTTCGTGGTTCCTGGCCTGTTAAAACATGACAAATAGAATTTTTAATCATAACCCAATTTTTTTAAATGGAACGAAGGTGGCTTATTAGCATATTTAGAGAAAAAATTACTTGGTATTTCGAGTCAAATTGTCGTTACATTTATGGCCATGACACTCTGAATTGAAACTTAAAATGGTATTTTTTTAATTGAAAATGTCGAAAGTTGGCGTCTGATATGTCATTCTATTTAGAATATCATTTTCTATCAAATAAAGTAAAAATATACCCAAAGGGCTGTTAAAAATCAAAAGTTGTAACTATTTTCGGTGAAACAGGAAGTGACCAAATCAACTGATTACATCAATCAGTCCTAGTTTCTGAAACACATTGAAATCCATGACCACGTAACGCAATTAAATCACTGATATTAAAAAATCAAGGGATCAGTTAACGGTGTGATTTTAAAATCGCGGTATTGTTCATCCCAATAAACCGAATTTGCATTTAGATCTATGTACTATTTTCTTAGTAATAACTCATAGATTCAAGTTTGAATCAGCCTGTACAAGAGCAAATAGGGTGCGTCTCAAAAGTGGCTCAGCTCTATAACTTTTTTATTTTTTCAGATAAAGAAACGAGATTTGGTATGTTAGTATATGACATAAATTAGGATTGATTGACGTTTTCAATTGTTTTCGGTCACTTCCTGTTTCACCGGAAATGACTACAACTTTTGATTTTTAAATGGCACTCTCGATATTTGTTTACTTTGTTCGATAGAAAATGACATTTTGAATAGAAGACATATCATATGTCAACTTTTGAGATTCTCGCTTAATAAATATCGTATTTTAAAATTGAATCTAGGGTGTTATGATACGTTAAAAACACTAATTCTCAATCAAGAAGCCTTGGAGAAATAGATTTGATCGTCTAAGGTTTTTGGTGTCTTGTCCTGGCCAGTTAGAAAATGCTCAAATCGTATTTATAATCATATCTCAATTTTTTCAAATGGAACGAGGGTAGTTCATTAGCATATTTGGAATTAGCATTTTTTAGGAATAATTTGATACCACACACTTGGTATTTCTAGTCAAATTTTTGTTACGAACTGCAAGTTATAATTTTGAATAAACCATATGTCAAAAGTTGACATATGCTATGTGATTCTATTCAGAGTGTTATTTTCTATCGAATAAAATAAAAAAATACCGAGGGTACCATTTAAAAATCAAAAGTTATAGTAATTTCCGGTGAAACAGGAAGTGAGCGAAAACAATTGAATACGTCCTTACAATTGAATCAATTCTAATTTATGTCATATACTAACATACCAAATCTCGTTTTTTTATCTGAAAAAATAAAAAAGTTATAGGGGGTAAGACACTTTTGAGACGCACCCGGTATTGTATTATCTAAATAAATTTAAATTACACCTAAGCATCAATCCCACACGCGTATTCTCGTAATTATAATTAACAAATAAAATTGAGAAATCGACACTGAAACGCTAATAAATGAATGTTTGTTTTGCTTGCCGCGTATCGCCGTGTATAAACATTAGAATTGTAGAAACGTTCCCACATAATATTTAGCGCGAATGAAATTTATTTTGACCGCTGATTATATCTCGTTTATTTTTAGGACATCATCGACGGCGTGAAAACGAAATGTACTGTTGTCGTAAATTATTTAATTTTTATTTAGTTTTGTCTAAAATTACTCACTGACCTTCCCATCTGCCATCTGCTATGAATTCTCTGGTTTTTGTCGAGTTGTCGTCGATCTGCCAATCGCGCAGCGCCCATCTTTGGTTGCATTTGTCGTTTTTCGAAAAGTTGCAGTTGTAGTCGCTGTTTATCTTGGGAATATATTTGGTAGCTGAAAATAAAATAAAAATTCATGTTAAATTTTAAGATTCATACTAAGTTTTAATAGAGTAAATTGAAATTCAAATTTTATAGAATTTTGAGTGGATGAATTTCTTTGCGTATTACTAAAAATACCCAACGTTGTCAGATGTGACAGTTACTGATATACTTTCTTGTAAAATGGCCCACTCTATACAGTATGTCCCCGGATCATATTTACAAGAGGAAAAACTTTTTTATTTTCCTTTCGTTGGTCCAGTCTAGTTGACGGAAGATTTCTTCTAGTGTTTCTGTAAACAGCTTTGGAGATATTCCGTCTTCATTTCATACTCTTTTGCCAGTTGGAAACTCTGGGGTTCTTTTATATATCATTACTCTTGCTTTGTCTTCTTTGTATATAATGACAGGAGTTTCTATGTAAGGCCTGTCAATGCCCTGATTTACTAGGGCTTCTATTATTGCCTTAGATGGACTCCACTGAAAATGGTGTGCTCCACTAAAATACAGAGTGCCCCACTTAAGATGGATACAAGCCAATATCTTGGTTGTTTGTTCAGCGATCTTTTTCATTTTTGGTAGGAGGTAGTATAGCTATAAGACGTACATTTCGCCCAGGGTAAGAAATGCGATACCTCATAGACGTACGTTTTAATGGGGTTTGATGTCGAGTCAAGAGTAAACTACCCTTAGGACAGTATTTATTTCAAATCTGATAAATTATATTGAATCCTTCTTACATAAATACTTAAGTTCTAATTTTTATAAATATTGATACAGGGTGTGTCATTAAAATAAGACATTTTTATTTTTATTATTATTTTTTAAGTACTTACGACGCCACTGGATAAACCACTGGTTTATTATCAATAACCAATTATATCCAATTATCAATTAATAATCCATTTAAGTTTAGTCGAAGATGATGACTTTTAGTTCGTTATAGTTTTATAAATCTTTGTTTAGAGCATATTTTCCAAAGTTAATAGTGATTGTTTTAAATAACTATTTGGATTTTTTTAAATATTCCTCAATAAAACGAATAAAAATCATATTTCAGATTCCATTAAAAACTGGGGTTTTAAATAATTTTGTAACTCATTTTATTCATTTGTATTAGCAAACTAAAAAAACAATTTATTAAAGTAAACAAAATAAATTGAAAATATTTAGTTTTTATGTATACATATATAAATTCGGGTCAGAACGTCCTACGACGTTGTCCGATGCCTAACTTCCACCCTGTGCGATTTTCCCATCGATCTTCGGTCAGATTTTTCTCGCTCATCGACCTTCTTATTCCTTCCATCCATGTTTTCTTGGGACGTCCTCTCTTTCGTTTACCAGGTGGTATCCAATGAGTGACTTGTTTTGCAATTCTTTCATTGTGCATTCTCTGAACGTGGCCGTACCATATTAATTGTTTTTGTTCTATATCATTTACTATTGTTCCCTCTATTCCCATCTGTTGTCTAATGTCTTCATTTCTGATCTTACCCCTCCTAATGTCTAATGTCTTCATTTCTGATCTTATCCTCGTTTTTTTGTATCGTATCTTAATTATTATGGAATCTATCTGAAAACTTAAATCGATTATATTAATTGATAATTGGTTATTGATAATAAATCAGTTGTTTATCCAGTGGCGTCGTAAGTACTTAAAAAATAATAATAAAAATAAAAATGTCTTATTTTAATAACACACCTTGTATCAATATTTATCAAAATTAGAACTTAAGTATCTTGGGTACAAAGGATTCAATATAATTTTATCAGATTTGAAATAAATACTGTCCTAGCGGTAGTTTACTCTTGACTCGAAAAATATCAAACCTCATTAAAACGTACGTCTATGAGGTATCGCATTTCTTACCCTGGGCAAAATGTACGTCTTATAGCCATACAGCCTCCTGCCAAAAATGAAAAAGATCTCTCAACAAACAATCAAGATATTGGCTTGTATCCATCTTAAGGGGACACCCTGTTTATACACACACCGGAAAAATCTAGGGATATCATTTTATTAAAGTTAAAAATAAATGTTTTGAATAAACAACCACATATTTGTAGGCCGATTCTTTCTATTTCGATTGAAACGAAGTAGTCACACTAGTTATTTCTAAATTTCGGATATTTGCAGAAGTGTTTGTGCATTTTTTGTCAAATGTATAAAAAGCACCTAGCATCAATTGTTCGAATTTAACCTGTACTGGCTATGTTTTTATGATAACTGGCCAGAATTCATTCAAATAACTCTGTTTAGTATTAAACGACATTATGGAGCGTAGACCTCTTAACAGAGACGAAATGCTAGGGGCCATGGGTATGCTCGAAGCTGGAATGCGCCAAATCGACGTAGCTAGAGCATTAAATACAACGCAAAGTGTAATATCGCGATTAAGTACACGCTACCGTGAAAGTGGTGATGTTGCTGAAAGGCACACAGGGCGACATCGCATTACTACCCCCCAGCAAGATCATTTTTTACAATTAAATGCTCGACGCCGACCGACTCTTACAGCACCAGAGCTTAGTTTAATTCTCCACGAAACACATAATGTAACCGTTAGTCCTGACACTGTTCGCAATAGATTAAGAAAGGTCAACATAAGAAGCAGACGCCCCTGAAGAGCTCAACCCTTAACGAGAGGAAATCGAGAGGTACGATATTTGTGGGCTCAAGATCATGTTCAGTGGTCGAATGAACAATGGGCCATGGTTCTCTTCACGGATGAGTCACGCTTTGGATTTCGCATCCGGATTCGAGAAGGCTTAGGGTATGGAGAGAACCGGGAAATCTTATTCGGTTGGATCATGTTCAGGAAGTGCACCCTTATCAAGGTGGAACAGTTATGGTTTGGGGAGGAGTCCAGTTAGGCCGAAAAACCGATCTCGTTTTTCTTGAAAGGTTTCTAACAGGAATCACATATCGTGATTTAATTCTTGAGCCTGTCATGTTACCATATGTCAATGATTTTGGGAGAAACTTCATTCTCAAGCATGACAATGCACGGCCTCATACAGCCAGAGTGGTAAGTGAGTTTATCAATGCTCGTCAATTAAACATCTTACCCTGGTCGGCACAATATCCTGACCTCAACCCCATCGAGCACGTATGGGACGCGGTCCAAAGAAGAATTTTGAGAATGGATATGCCTCGTGAAACTCGTAGGGATCTGGTTCGGGCCGTGAATGCAGCGTGGCAGGCTGTACCTCAAGAAGAGATCGACAACCTGATCAGGAGCATGGAGAGATGATGTAGGGCTGTAATGAACAGTAGAGGAGGCCATACCCTTTATTAAGTAAAAATGGTTTTATCTTTTTTTTAATTCACATTTTAGAATAAAAAAAATGTGTGTATTTTTTTGAGTTCAATAAAAATCAAGGTAAATTTGAAAAATTCGGTAAATTTCGCATTTTTATTTCCAATACGCCCTGTAAACTATTTATTTCTGTTAATTTTATTATATCAGAAATGCAAATAATAAAATTACTGACGATGGCTGGATAAAATTGTAATATCCCTAGACTTTTCCGGTGTGTTTATTTGCATTTATTTAAGACTCATCCTGTAATGATATTTAAAAAAATGTTTGTCTCAATATACGCGGTTTTCCGCAACCCAAGCAACCAGCGCGTAAAACGAGAGACTCCTGCATTACAAAACAGAAACGGCTTTCGAATTTTGTTTCATTACGAAGAAGTCTAAATAAATTGATTGTTATGCACATATTGTCCTGAATTATGTAGATGAAAATTGATCAGGAAATCCGTTGGTTAATAATAATTAAAACATTTGATATGCGATGGACGTTCATCTTGTTCGCTCGCAGGCATTAGAAACTATACAGAAAAGGCATTTCGAGGACGATTTTTTTAATAATTTCCTGGACCATTATTATAATGAATCATTCAAATCATTTAAAACAAACAATAATAAATATATTTATTCACAATCATATAACAGTTTTTTTATTTATTTTATTAACATTAATACTAACATTTATATTAATAGGCAATTCGCTGTTTTATTATTTGTCATATTTTATTTCATTTTTGTTGATAAAAAGCTTATAGTTGCCATCCTATTGGAAACAAATGTCTATGGGTGTTTTGGCAGAATTATGAGTAACATTCACTTTTTTGAAATGCTCTCTAGACATCACATGTAGTAAATGGGTAGTTGCTTCTTGAGCTTCCGCAAATATTGCTGCAGCAATACCACCTTGCATTTTCGTTGTTTTAAGAAACCTTTTCACAAGTTTTATGAGACAAACTCTAAATTTTATTTTTGCCAAGCTTTTCTTTTTATCAGTACTAAACAACATAGACACCATAACAACAAACACGCTCTTTAATTCGATGTTTCAAAATAATGCTTTCTGCTAAATGTTCCCATCAAATTTTTATCATTTTGACTAAATATTTCGATTATTACAGATTATTACAGTACATGGGGGTTGGAACCTTTGGTGTTACACAGCAAAATAAAACAGTAAATCACCACAATACACCAAAACACTTTTTACTTTTACACTGGGCGCGCGTTTCAGCAGATGATTATAAAGTGTAAATGTAAAATAAAAAAGTTTATAATCATCTGCTGATGATGCTAACATGGTTAGCGAAACGCGCGTCCAGTGTTTTGGTGTATTGTGGTGATTTAGTGTTTCATTTTGCTAAATATTTCGAGTCAAAATGTCGTTATGAACAGCATGTTACAATTACAACTAAACCATATGCGAAAATGTGAAAAGTTGACATGTGATACGTCATTCTATTCAGAGTGCGGCTGTCAAGGAGAAACACTGTATATACATTTTTTTGTAAATACCATTTTTAATATACTAAGGGTCGGCATTTCTGGTCTTGGGTGCCGGTTTTCATGTGTACGAAGAGTGCGGCCAACACATTTAGTAAAATAAGATGTACTGAATAAAGACAGAAGGCGAGTATTTTCCCAAGCGCCTGGCATCTAGCGTCAGATTAAGTAGTTATGTAATAAATACTTCG